GTGGGTGTGGTGTGGTGTGGGTGTGGGTGTGGGTGTGGTGTGGTGTGGTGTGGTGTGGTGTGGTGTGGGTGGTGGGTGTGGTGTGGTGTGGTGTGGTGTGGTGTGGTGTGGTGTATGTGTGTGTGTGTGTGTGCGCGCTCGCACGCGCGCGTGCGTGCGTGCGTGGTTTGTGCGTGCGTGCGTGCGTGCGTGTGTGTGTGTGTGTGCGTGGGAGTGGATCTGCATGCCTACATACATACGTGCGTGAATGTTATTGAATTATTCCGCTGCTTTATATTGACTTTTCTCATTTATTAGCACTCCTCTAAACAAAGGTGCGCTGCGGTGCCGCTATGTAAGCTGCTGTCATCACTGGCAGCAAGAACAAGTCCGCACCTGCAGCTACAGCACACACGCATCTATTAACTATATATAACAACTATAATGGTTGTTATATATAGTCNGAGAGAGAGAAGGGGGAGGGGGGGATCGAGCCCACGCCCGCACACGCACACGCGCGTAGAGAGATGCGTAGACGTACCCGCCGTCATACACATCAGATAGTGAGCCATCAGAGATGAGTGATGGGGCCTGATGGCTCGTCCCGGGTGAATGGCAGATATCTATATATAACAGGGCGGCCGGGGAATTTTAAAATGAGGCCTACTTTTTCTCGTAAAATCGCATTGCAAAGTAGGCATTTCATATCTGTGGCGGGTAAAGCTTATTTACAAACATCACGATAGATGGCGCTCTCGTTTGTTGATTTGGCCGTGTTGGGAGCATTCGCCATCACCACTTGGCACCACGCGACTATATAAACTCGAGTACATTCAGTCAGTGGTCGATATTAGAAGAACGTCGTAGGTGTTGTGGTCGTGTTTCTATTATTTTTATAACGTATTTATCGACTGTTAAACATCGATGAGAATGTCGAGGGAAATTGTACGCGGTCGCGAAAGGTATAAGTTGCTTCACCATAGCAACAAGCAGACGGACATGGCTGAAATCGGCGACACTGACGACGAATTCACGTTCATATTCACGTCCGAGAGTGTCGGAGAGGGCCATCCAGGTATATATTATCATTGTATATTACTAGTAATAGTAGTATATATACTTCTGTTACTGTCAATCGGACACTGTGTTAGCTACAAGAAAGAGTCATATGTCGAAAGTCTGTCTTGTATATTGTTATTGTTAAAATGTTATCTGTACAATACGCTTCAACTTTTCAAGAACTCGAAAAACAGTGTGTTGATCATCATCAAGGCTTCGAGAAGTATCTCTCTTCATCAGGCTATAACTATAAGATGACAACAGAATATATATGTGTGTGTGTGTGTGTGTGTGTGTGTGTGTGTGTGTGTGTGTGTGTGTGTGCGTGTGTGTGCGCGTGCGCGTGTGCGTGTCTGTGTGCGTGTGCATGTCTGTGTGTGTGTGTGTGTGTGTGTGTGCGTGTGCGCGCGTGTGCGTGTGTAAACACGTCGCCATTCTGTACGATAATTAAATAAATCTGTAAATAATTAAATAACACACGATGGAGCGACTTGTGTTTGGAGACACCATTCGAAGGAACCGTGTGATTGTGATTTTTAAGTGCGACCATAATCGTCACGTAATCGTCACCTAATGGTCACGCTAATCACCGGTTTCTCCCCGTTCTCGTTTCGCTTCCTTCCTCTTTTGTCTTTGAAGGAGAACCCCACTACGTTACGACAGAAATAAAGGAGGCAAACTTAAAGGGATCCTTTTTAAAATGACGAAAGTAGTGATCAAGACGTGACTTTGACGTTCTTGTGTTGTTTTTTTCTCGTCGCGCAGATAAGATCTGTGACCAGGTGAGCGATGCAATTCTCGACGCGTGTCTGAAGCAGGAGCCGAATGCGAAGGTGGCGTGCGGTGAGTGACAACGCTGCTTATGCGCGAATATATGCTGTATGTGCATGTGCCGTATGTGTGCTGTATATATTATGCTGCATATATATGCTGTATGTGCATGTGCCGTATACATGCTGGATATATGCTGTATGTGTGCTGTGTGTGTGCTGTATGTGTGCTGTATGTGTGCTGTATATATGCTGTATGTGTGCTGTATGTGTGCTGTATATATGCTGTATGTGTGCTGTGTGTGTGCTGTATGTATGCCGTATGTGTGCTGTGTGTGTGCTGTATGTATGCCGTATATATGCTGTATACATATGCCGTATATATGTTGTATATGTGCCATATATAAGCTGGATATATGACATATATATGTCGTATATATATGCCGTGTATATGTGCCGTATATGTGCCGTATATGTGCTGTATATATTACATATAATGCTGTATATATGCTGTATATATTATGTATATATATCATATGCCGTATATATATGCTGTATATACAGGGTTTTCATTACTCTATTCTATTCAGTACACAGGCCCAAATGCTTTTGCAGAGGCCCGTTGCGGGGGGGCCCCCAATTTTCTTTTTAAACCTCAGCCATGCCTCTCCGAGATGCCAATCTGGTGTATTCTGAGCTGCAGTAAACAGACAAATTGGATTCAGTATCGGTCCTTTTTTCCACATTTGTTTCTCCTGGTACATTTCAGAGTTCACAAAAGTTTACAACATGTCATGACGATATTAGATAATTCATAAGAGTTAGCGACAAGTACCGCAACATAGATTCACTCAAAAACAAAACAATGCTTCCTTGTGCAATAACATGCATCACAATATACTCAAACTGACTTTATTAGTAGTAGCTCATAACACACTTTCACCTTTGGAGAATAATTAGAGCAAAAACAAATGCAAATAAAATCTTTTTTTTTTTTTTTAATTCATACTTGAGCCAATTGTAAACCGGCCGAAACAGCAGAGTAGCACGGTCAATTCGCGCCGGTGGCCGGTTCCCCTAATGAGAACACTGCAGTATATTATATGCTGTATATGTGCCTGCATCGTATGACAATATGTGCTGTATATGCTGCGCATGTATGATGCCTGCTATTATATGCGCGTATATGGGCCTGCATGTATCGATGCTGTAAGTCATATGCTGTATAGGTGCTTGATGTATGATGCTGTATATATATGCTGTATATGTGCTGCATGTATGACTTATATATATGCTGTATATGTGCTGCATGTATGATGCTGTATATATATATGGTGTGCCCTCTGCTGCAGCGCACGTAAAATGCTATCGCAACAGAATTATTGCACCCGATACTGTGACTTATTGCACTTGATACCAGCATATAGAGTCACATAGCACATATTATCCAGAGCTAGTAAGTACCTGTGGTAAACACAGGTGTTTATTAGCTATTGATATTATATATATATATATACATGTAGGCACAATGTAAAAGATTGGCATGGTTATGGTGTTCGGAAATCGACGATTTCTTACCGCCTTCTTTCATTTTCCCGTGCGGCAATAAAAGTAAAGCAAAGTACTTAAAAAGTGAAGTAACCGCAGCAATTTCTCTCTCTCTCTCTGAGTGACTGACTTTTATTTTCTGCGCGCGGCGTTGCAGAGACGGTTTCGAAGACCGGCATGGTGATGGTGTTCGGCGAGGTGACGACGACGGCCAAGGTCGACTACGAGAAGGTCATCCGAAATACAATCAAGAAGATCGGATACGACCACTCGTCGAAAGGTACGGAGGGGGGAAGAGGCCGAGGGAGGAGGGGGGAGGAGGTGAGAGGAGTGGGAGGAGGTGGGAGGAGTGGGAGGAGGTGGGAGAGGGTCGAGGCAGGAGGAGAAGGCAGCAAGCCGACGCAGCAATCGGCTTATCCGGACCCCGTCATTTTGATCGGTGGCGGAACTGGGTTAATCGAGTCGTCGCTCGATCGCTGATGATTGACCTTCGACCCCCGGGCACCTGTTGACAGAGCGGTGACAGCGGCGGCGGCAGAGGCTCGTGTTCGCGTTATCTGTTTACGCTGTGTTCGATATCGCGCGCTGCACGCGCCGGTTTCGTCCCGGTTATCTAACCGCCTCGATCCGGATCCCCGCGTCGACCCTCGCGATGGATGACTCACCCCCCCTCCCGGATGTTGCTTGGGTTTCATCCGAGGCGGAAGCTTCAGTACGGGGAAAGACTTTAAATTAGGAAAAATAGGGAAAATAGTTGTGTGTAGGGATACGGTTTAATCGCTATAAACAGCCATAGATGCTGTGTCATTGTCGCATGACTTGCGGTTTTTCGCCCGCGGTGCCACACGGCGGTCTACACACCTGTAACCTGTTTATTGTAACACCTGAGGTATGAGAACCCCCCCCTCCCCCCACTGTAGAGCCAGCCGTGTGTGAGGTAACGGTGCTCGCAACCCAGCTAACTGTATATAAGTTCTAAACTAAGCGAGAGAAGGTTGAACGAGAAAAGATGTTCGCGCGATATCGACGCAGATTTTTCTCAGCTATATTTTCGCGAGTCTCCAGAGAAATATAAATCCGTTAGCGTTGAATTTTAACAATATTAAGTTAACAATTTTGTATAAGACGATAATTGGAGTACTATTATAAAGAGAGCTAAATAATACCTGAGATCATAACCTATTGTTAGCGTGCGTAATTGGAGTACTATTATAAAGAGAGCTAAATAATACCTGAGATCATAACCTATTGTTAGCGTGCGTGCATGCGTGCATGTGGAGGCACTGGACTGTATAACCGCTAGTGTTGTCAATCGGTTGTAATTTCGTAATC